CACTTCTTGACATTCGTCCATTCCTCTTCAACGCTTTCGCCTTCACTTTCACTTAATTTTCCTTCCAATTCTGCTCTTACTTCGTCTCGCGCGCTCTTCAGGTTCTCCAGGTCCCATCTCTTCTTCCTCAACCCCCTACTCCTGATTTTCTTCATTCTGGTGCTGACGTTTGCAACTAACATATTATGATCTGAGTCGATGTCCGCTGATGGCACTGTTGTCACATCCTTTACGCTATTCTTAAATCGTTGCTTCACTAAGATATAATCTATCTGGTATCTGCTCCTGTCTCCTGGGCTTTTCCACGTATACAATCTCCTGTGATACTTCTTGAACCAGGTATATTATTTCCAAACATCTAATGGCAGTGAATATTGACAGAATTTAAGTGTAAATAAAGAACAGGTCAACACTTGCGCCAACATGTTGGTTTTATCTGTGGGCGCCTGTATTATCAAAACACATGCACAGTGTAATGTAACTGTGGGATTTAAATTGGATCAGCAGGGGATATGAGGATTTGAATGCCTGGTACCTTAAAGGTTAATAAAACTATATTTTCTTACAGATCCATCACCAAATAAATACAACTGAAATAATGTTTCCATTCTTCACATGTTGTAGGGGACTGATTTGTTGACATTTTGAAGACTCTAGTTTCTACTTCTATTTTCAAGAAAATGCCATCACATAAGTAAGACTAGCTGCAGACTACTGTGAAAGCCTAGAATTCTTTTATGGATGTAACTGTCATTGAATTTGAAATAATGCTGCCTGTTTGCTACTTCTTCAATGATAACACATTCTTTATTGTATGCACAACATGCACATAATATTATACCACCTGTTTTTGTTTTATTCAGTGACAATGTTTGTTGGACAATTTTAACAGCTGATATCTAAGTATTCATCATTTTTACCAATTTCCTCTCTAAGGAGAACTTCAAAGTATTTTCAAGAATGTCAACCTCGAGAAACAAAATGACTACTCAATTAAGCATTCAAGGTCGAAACCAAACACAGAAATTTCAGTCCCATACTGCTGACACAGCAACACCTACTGTTCCATATAATTACAGATTATATCTCTTAGTTTGAAGGAAGATCTGGCACTTAAAATAATGTGTGCAAATTACTATGGATAATATCTGGATCCAAGATGATACACTATAAGAGGAATGGATAAAATTACATAACACTGAACTTCAACATTTATACTTTACTCATAGGATAATGTAATTCTAACACGCAAGACAGTTCTGCACATGAAACAGAATTGTATTTAATTGCAGCTAACAACAAATATTTGAATATGGTTGCTTGACTTTTTGATCACCACTTACTTGTATTACAACTGTTGCCGTGGGAATACTGTCCACGGAGGCTTACTATGTATCTGGCTACATTCTGCTGTAAGTATACCTACAGTTATAACCAATACTGTCCAGGGAGGCTTACTATGTATCTGGCTACATCCTGCTGTAAGTATACCTACAGTTATAACTGCATTACCTAGTTTGATAGTGTGTTTCAGTGAATACCATGACAATTAAATAGGGTTACATTTCTGACCTGTCAAAAATTGATAAAAAAATTTTTTATTACTAAGTCAACACTGCATACTTTATTGTGGCTTGTAAATATTTTACGTAAAAGTATGGTTTGAAGGCTTTTGATGACACACTAGCAAACTTTATGAGACCACTATTTTCAGAAAACTTCAGTTTGGCAGATATTTATGAATTTTTTTTTCTATTTCCATTTCCTCAATCCCAAATCTCCACTCAAAATCTTCCTCACAGTTTCTCTATCTAATTTTAGTTCTTCTGCCATCATTCGTACACTTAATCGTCTGTCAGAACGAACCAATGTCCGCACTTTTTCCACATTTTCAGCGAGTTCTCGGACATCCAGTTCTTTCGTTGTCTTCCAAGTCTTCCCTACCCTCTTTAAACCTTTCATGCCACTCAAAGACACTCGACTATTTCATAGCATCCACACCATAAACCTCTGTTAACATCTGTACAGTTTCACTAGCGCTTTTGCCCAATTTTGCACAAAACTTGATGTTAGTGCGTTGTTCCAACAGCCTATCACTCATTTTCCGTCGGGATGACACCACACTAACTTACAACTCTCCCGCTGTTTCCCTGTCACCACAATCTTTACGGTAAGAAGACCGCCGACAATGGCGCCACTCACACGTGGTAGTGAATCGAGGAACCACGAAGCACTAGTTTTAAACGCGTAAAACTAATAAAATACTGCCGCAAAAGTTCACCGGGAAAAAATATGGATTTTAGATCCTTCCGAATTTCGGAATACTGGACATGGGGTCCGACACTGAAAATGTTGCTATAAAAGACACTCACACATAAACTGCCTTTATTCAGAGACCAGTCAAGTGCCTGTCAGAGATGTAACCCCTAATTTGGGATTGGCGGCATGATAATGTGCTGCTTGGTCGAATGTATTACATGCCTCATGGTGAAGTTACAGCTGGTAATGAAGAAATTGTGGCATGGTAATGTGCATGGGAGGAATTTTGAGGGAAACTAGCTCCAGTGCCACTTCAACCATTAATTGGGACTGAAAACAGGTGTCCATGATAAAAAAACTGTATGATAGAGGCTGATGTCTACACTGGCAACCAGGATGGTGAACCCTCTTGGGGCTATGCAACGACAATATGTAAGTTCTCCACTTTATGCATGCAGCAAAGAACACATCCAAATGAAATCTTAGTTTCATTTTAAAATTGATGTTTCCTGTTGTCAGTCTCAAATACAAGAAGGAAAAGTGTTCATTTCTGGGTTAGAGTTTTATTATAATGAAGTCAGAGTTTCACACAACAAACTGAAATGCCAGAAAATAAATAAATTTAACTTATGAATACAATTTTATGCTATCCTAATTTCAGCTATGTACATCAGTATTTATGCTAATCTTTCACTGAGGTAGTTCTCTCACGTCTTGTGGAAAGTGGTGTGAGTTGTCAGTATTTCTGACAAAACAAGTAGTTTCCTTGCCATGTCGGGAATATGTCGAGCACCAAAATAAATATGATGGAATTTTGTTGTATTCCAGGCTTAGATGGTACAGGGTAATCAGGTTGTGTTTCACTGTGATTCAGGATCAAGCTGCCCTACACAGAAAAATATTGCATTACATTAACAAAATGTACATTGACATAATATAATGAAATTTCATCAGCTTCTCTATTTTAAAAATTTCTGAAATGCAATAAGAAGTAAATGGAATATTACAGATGACCAGGGATGGCACAGAATTAGCATCTTGCAAGTCTAAGAAAAATAAACGGCAGAGAAAGTAGTTGCTTCAATCTGCACACACCTTATACCTTACAACTTTCATTGTAAGACTCTATATCAGTGCTCCCCAAACCTGGATAAATTACCCCAAAATGGGTAAAAGTGGTTTTTCTTTGGGTAACGACACACCTTGGAATACACATTACACCTACATGTGTGAAGTAGGCTTTCCACTCTTGCCTTCATATAGAGCACAAAACGAAACTGTTTGCTGAACCCCGAATACGATTTGAGGTGTGCTCTGTCTCCAATTGCTCCCAAATTTGCGGAACTAGTAAATAAGATGGGGCAGTGGCATTGTACTCATTAGCTGGGACCCGGGTGAGAATAAATATCACTGCCATGTGATGCCAATGAGTTTCCAGCCCATTAACCCACATGCCATTATTGTCAGAGGTTAGCATCTTACCAATTCCTGTACATTTCAGAATTTGAAAGAGAAACTGGTGTTGTTAACCTCTTTTATCAGTGATGAAACTAAACTACATACAACTGATAGAAGAACCAAATTTATTAAATACAAAAATAGTACCTTACAAAGTCTTGGTTATGGTTCCTGAACTGTGATTATCTGGCACAGGATGTTGAACTGAACCAAT